CAGAGTTACTCTTTTCAATGTTCACGATAGTTTTATGATAACATATGCCTGTCGGTATTATTGGTAACCGCGTCGGTATGTATCATCGGTAACCGTGCCGATATATGGACTAAATCTCGGGCCGCTGGCGCGTGATAGTAGGAGGCGACCGGAGGAGAACTACTTCTCCTCACGGAGCACGATATGGTGCTCCGCACTGTACGTGGACGACTTATTGTTTGAAGCTCCATCCCATGTGGAGGCAGTTCAGCTCATTATTGATGTGACGCGCATTCTGGCATTGGGATGCTTTGAATTAAGAAAGTGGATATCCAACAATGCAGAGGTTCTAGAAACGATCGGAAGATCCGGTGATAATCATCAGTTTATCAACCTATATGAGACTGAAACTACAAAAACCTTGGGGCTATCATGGTCCTCTAGCAAGGACGAGTTGATCTATCGCGTCACTTTAAACAGCCACCTCGGACCAGCCACAAAGCGTTCTGTCTTATCACTAATAGCTCGGATTTTGATCCGTTGGGGCTTCTGGGTCCAAGCGTTATAATTACCAAAATAATGTTACAAAGGATGTGGAAGCTGAAACTTACATAGGACGAGCCTCTTCCGCCGGAGTTGCAATCCAAGTGGGCCTTATTTGTCAACGAACTTACTTTACTCAATGATCTTCGTGTTCCACGACAGGTCTGTTGCACATCCCCACAAGTGGAAATACATGGGTTTGCAGATGCAAGCGAGTTAGCCTACGGCGGTTGCGTCTACGTAAGATCTACGGATAAAGCATTAACAGTTTCCGTCCGTTTGCTGTGCGCCAAATCAAGAGTCGCTCCCCTGAAACCACTCACAATACCGAAGTCGGAGTTAAGCGCGGCTCACGTTTTAGTGAGTTTGGTAAGCAAGATCACGTCGTCATTGGATGTGAAGATTGACTCCGTCCATTATTGGAGAAATTCCGTTATTTGCCTAAGCTGGATACGACTTGAACCTCATCGTCTTTATGTGTTTGTCCGTAATTGGGCATCTGACATACAAGCGCAATCTCATCCGGGCAGTTGGAAGTATGTTCCATCCTCCGATAATCCCGCGGATGTGTTATCCAGAGGCGCCTCTCCAAGGATGCTGTCACAGTCAAGACTTTGGTGGCATGGGCCAGCCTGGTTGAGGGAGTCTGAGAGTCATTGGCCAAGTCAAATCGATCGCGTGCCTACTGAGCTACCGAAGCTACGGGACGCAACTTTGAACATTCTGCACGTCGCAACGACCAAATGCATTATTTCATTCGAAAGATACTCCACATTAGAAAGGCTGGAGAGAGTAGTGGCCTTTTGCATAAAGTTTATAAATATACAAGTGCATAAGCTACCCATTAAGGGCTTTCTCAGCGCGCAAGAAGTATGGCATGCAACCATTGTGTTGGTGAGATTGTCACAACAAGAGTCGGTTCTCGAGGAATATAGTGCGCTGTCTGCTGGCAAGGACATATCCGCACGGAGCAAGATTCTTGGCTTAAAGCCCTTTTTACACACCGACAAGACCATACAAGTAGGAGATCGCTTGGGGCGATCTGAGTTTGGCTTCGACAAAAAACACCCAATGATATTTTTATCGAAGCATCATCTAACTAAACTCTTATTCCAGAGCGAACACAAGCGTCTTCTGCATGCTGGTCCTCAGCTGTTGATGTCTCATGTCAGGGAGACGTATTGGCCGGTTGCGGATTGAAGCCTAGCCCGTTAAGTTGTACATCAATGCATTCAGTGTTTTTGCAGCAAGCCTAAACCGATTGCGCCGCAAATGGCAGACTTACCACTCGACCGCGTAACACCCATTTCCGTCTTCTATAGTACTGGCGTGGATTATGCCGGGCCCTTTGTCACAAAGGACAGAAAGGGACGAGGCTGCAAAACTTACAAATCCTACATCTGCTTGTTTATTTGCATGGCTACAAAAGCCATTCATCTTGAGCTGGTTTCCGATCTCACCACGGAAAACTTCATCCTGGCGCTCCGTAGATTTGTCGGTCGTCGAGGAAGACCTGCCAAAATATCCTCCGAAAATGGAACTAATTTTGTTGGCGCTCATTCTGAGTTGCAACGCCTCGGAGAGTTTCTCAAAGAAAACGAGGGACAACTACAAGATCGATTGGTGACGGAAAAAATTAACTGGAGCTTCATTCCCTCTTATTCACCGCACTTTGGGGGTATTTGGAAAGCAAGAGTAAAGTCTACTAAGCATCATCTGAAGAGGGTCGTGGGAAACGCGCTACTAACATTTGTAGAAGAGTTCTACAGCTTACTGGTGCAAATCGAATCCGTATTGAACTCGCGCCCTCTTTTGCTCATGTCCTTTCATTCAATGGATTTACAGCCACTCGCACCAGCTCATTTCATCACTGGTAGTTCATTGACAACTATACCTTGTCCAGATATGACTGATATCCCTGAGACACGACTGTCTCGTTATCAGAAGATTCAGCAGATGCAGCAGAACTTTTGGAAACGCTGGTCCAAAGAGTCTGTGTCTGAGCTGCAGTGTCGCACCAAGTGGAAGACTAGTGTGGGCACGCTCAAGGTCGACGATCTGGTCTTGGTCAAGGAGGACAATTTACCTCGAGCAGCAGTTATTTCGTAGACAAAAACAAACAGCCCCAAAAATTTTTTCCGTAACAAGAGAAGCCATTGCGCTTCAATTGATTGTCTCAAACATCTTCATTTTGTTTCCAATAGCCCAGAAATTGTTTGTACATATTAGTAATTGATCTATTAGATTTTCAGTTGCTCAACGAGCTTTTTGCTAGTGCTGGTTGAAATAAACAAATCAATAGTTGGACCAACACTCAATAATTAGTACTTTTCTCTACTTAATTATTTAGATCAATTTTCTATCACTTAGCTGATTAATTCTTCTTTGCTCTAATTAAAAATGGCGGAGCTTTTTGAAAAAGATTGAATAACACTGTTAATGATGCGAGGATGGGGAGATCAACAAAGAGAATATAAAACAGTAACGCGATTATTTAATGAAAATTTTTGGAATGAAAATAATAGAATCTCTAAAAGTACTGTAATCCGTACTATTCAACGTTTCGAGGACATTGGTAGCGTTAAAAGCTGCTCAAGATCTAGACGTAAAACAGCAACAAATAATAATAAGGCAGTAGATGTTTTATAGTCTTTCGTTGAAAATCCCCATATTTTCATCAATCGCGTTGCACAAGAACACGAAATCGGTTATGCATCTGTCAATAAAATTTTGAAATTGAATAAATGGCATCCATACAAACTCCATTTGTGCCAATAGTTGTCCGAAGACGATTTTGATAGACGCATCAAATTTTGTGATTTTATGATGGAGATGATTTTGTCGACGATCTTCTATTACTTAATAATATTGTTTTCTCTGATGAGGCAACACTTGAACTGACTAGAAATGTAAATAGACATAATTGTAGGTACTGGAGTGACGTTAATCCTCACTGGAAAAGAGACAATCATACCCAATATCCACCAAAAGTTAACGTATGGGCTGGTATTCTTAATGGTAGACCAGTTGGCCCTTTTTTCATTGAAGGCAATGTGACAGCACAGATATACACAGTCATGCTTTGCGAACAAAATGTTCTAGCTATTTGAGACATAGCTGGTGGAAATATGGATGAAATTTATTTCCAACAGGATGGAGCTCCCACCTCATTATGGTGTCATTGTCCGTCAATATTTGAATGAGGTCTTTCAGGATAGGTGGATAGGGCGAAGGGGTCATATTGAGTGGCCACTTCGGTCTCCGGACTTGACCCCACGTGACTTTTTTTGTGGGGTTATTTGAAAAGTAAAGTTTATGCCACCAAGTTTCAAGATTTAGATGATTTAAGTAGGAGAATAACTCGAGAGATAGAACTAATACCGCCAGAAACGTATCGGAATGCGGTTTTAGCTGTTTATAACAGATTGGCACATTGCCAGGCTGTTTGAAGGAATTTACAACAATTTGAACATTTGTTGTGAATTGTTTGATACAATTGAATATTTTGCCCAAGCTGATCAATTGGAATGAAATTCGCCTTAACTGGCGGGACCCACACGCCACTGTTGTCTTAACTAGTCGGATCCTCACGCCACTCTTGCCTTAACTGGCCAGAATCACACGCCACTCTTGTTTTAACTGGCCCGACCCACACGCTACTTTTGTCTTAACTGGCCGAACTCACACGCCACTCTTGCCTTAATTGGCCGGAATCACACGCCACTTAACAAATTGTTAATTTCAAACCTTTATAATTTAAAAGTACTTAATAAAAAAATGTTTTATTATAATGTTTTGGAAAGCTCTCGAGATAAGCTATAAAAATATGCAATAAAATGTAGGAGGTTTTATTTAAAAAAATAAGGTTAACCTTGAAATGACCTTAAAAAAAATGGTCAAGATCAAAGTCAAGGTCATCATCTTACTCCTCGCTTGAAACCATACAACTTTGCTATTGGACATTGTCTCCAAAATGCATTCTAACTGAAGATATTAGAAGGGTCCTTAAATACTTTTCGATGACCCTGTATATATATAAAGAAAGAATATATATATAAAAAAATAATTAAATATATGTACATATATGTACAGGGTATAAAAAGTACTGGTACCGCAAAAAATCTTGAAAACTAAGCATGTTACAAAGAAGTGTTTCAGATAAAAGTTGTAGAGGTTTAAAGGATTTATTTATTAATTTTATCAGTTTGAATGACATTCCCAAGGTCACCTTGAATTTTTTTAAATGGACCACTCTACTTTTTATTGCAAATTTTTAAAGCTTAATTTAAGAGCTTTTCAAGACATTATAATAGTTTATTTTCATTAAGTATTTTTTTATGGGTTGAATTAGAGTTTCGCCGGTATTAACATTATTTAGTGACGTTATCATTCATTTCAAATGTTGCTTTAGTTAAAATAACTATGTTGAATAAGAAATTAAGTTCTTTATCAATTCTCTGCATTATGAGCTTACAAAATTTATTATGATCAAAAGTATCTTCGTAGAAAAAGTATCGGCGCAGTATTCTAATGTGCAACTTTCATAACAAAAAATGCTTAATGAAAATAATCTTTATTATACTGTTTTGGAAAGCTCTTGAATGAAGTTATAAGAATCTGCAATTAAAAGTAGTGTTTCATTTTAAAAAATCAATGTGTGACTTGACCTTAGTGGCGCTTTCCAAAGTGACACTGATACAATTGAAAAATAGATTCTTTTAAGCCCAACAACTTTTATCTGAAACTTTTTTTCATAAAATGCCTAGTTTTCAAGATTTTTTGCGATACCGATACTTGTTATCTCTACTCTGTATAATATAATGTCTTAAAAAAGAATGTTTTTAGGTAAATATGTATAAAAACGGAGCACCTCAAAGGTCAATGACTTTAATACATGTTGTCAAAAACACCTTCCTGAACAACAATCTGCAACTTTTAGCCGTCGCTCGTTGCTCGGTAAAAAATTATAAACAAAAGAAATATCATAAATGAACTCTTATTTTCTGACACCGTAGACATTTTGTTTGTGTTGTAAGCGTGTAGGCAGAGGGGGCTGCGCCCCCCGCAGGGAGAGGGACTTTGACCCTCCTCCCTGCTCTCCCTTCGCGAAAAACTGAAGGCATACATCAATATGCACGATTACACTCACCATATAGTAAATCACAAAGAAAATTTCGTAGATCCTCATACTAATTGTCACACGCAAAACATCGAAAGAATTTGGCGAGATATGCGGAGTAATATTCCACGTTTCGGGACATCAATAGAACATTAATTGAATTCTTTACTTGACACTTAATTGAATTCTTTATTTTTTTGTGAAGGGGGAACAAGGGGGAGAGGCAAAGCCCTGTGAGGGGGGGGCGCAGCCCCCTTCTGCCTACACGCTTACAACACAAACAAAATGTACACGGTGTCGAAAAATAACAATTTATTGCCGCAACTTCTTTTGTTTATAATTTTTTAACGAACAACGAGCGACGGCTAAAAGTTGCAGATTGTTGTTCAGGAAGGTGTTCTCGACAAAATATGTTAAGGTCATTGACCTTTGAGGGTGCTCCGTTTTTATACATATATACCTGTTTTTTTATTATTTTAAACATAAATTTAATTTATAATTAAAAAGGTATTAATTTTTTATACAATTTATATGCATTTATAAATACATATAATATATGTATTGTTTTGTATATCTTTTAACGTTAACGTAGTTAATCTATAGATAAATAACTTTTTACTTGGTTAAAGAATAACAAACAAATGTGGAATTTAATTATTAATATAGTGACAATATAAGAATATAGGCATGAATTTCAAAAAAGTATGACAAAGCTGAGAAATCAGATCGTTATTTCCACAAAGACTTATAACACACACACTGACACACACACATGACAGAGAGGGTTTGTAGTCTCTAAATACTGTGAAAGTGACGAACCACGGAATCCTGATCTCTGTCATCTGTATTACATACACACACATACCTATATACGTGAATTATATGTTTAAAATATTTGTAACTAAGATAAAAATGAATATTGATGTTTTACTCTAATATATAAATCGTTATGTTATGTTAATGATATAGCGTAAAGTATCATAACATACTCGAGTTAAGTAACTGTAATTACAGTTGCTCTCTATTTTTTACAAATCATTATTTCGGTATTAAAAATAAAATAAACTGAGTTTCTCGAGAACATCGTATAAACAATCAATGATACCACCACATAAGTTTGCTAAATATTAAATTAATCATTTTGGGAAAATTGAAAAGTAAAATATCACACATTTCTACGTAGTACTGACACTCGTATATAAGTTTAGTAGCGACATACAAATCGTATGCAAAGCTAACATTGACATAATGATTGTTGTTTTATCGTGTCATATTGTGTAAATCACCTTGATAATGAGAGTATCACCAGCAATAAACGCCATTTGAGGTACAAATAAAATCCTTCATTATTTCATAATACTTCAAAACATATCATATATACTAAACAAATAAGGAATGGTCAATCAATACGTAAAAATCATATTGTGCAAAAACAAAGAAGAATGTCATAATGCATTTGCAAGAATTATAACTCTTTATCTGTATTCTTCTATGTATTGGAACAACCAGTTTGTCAGGAAAAATTTAGTCTTCGTGTTCCTTTTAAAATAAACATTTGAAATGAAAAGTTCATTACTACTTGGCAGAAGAACTACAAGACTCAAACACGTTATTTCAATGCGTCCCTATTGCGTATTTGAAAATAACTTTATTGAAAACAAGTTTTGCTCTCGTTTTGAAATGGACGCCAACATTTTATTTATTACTGAACTTAGCAGAAGAATTCAGTTAAGACAAGTGAATTGAATAGCAAGAATTATTTATTTTTTTGTGTACTTAAAGAAACAATATCACAAAAAATTGAGACTTTCCTCTCTTTTTGAAATAGATATTTATGTTTCATCATTATTTGACTTAAGAAACTGCATAAAATCAAGTAAACTGAACAGTAGGAATAGTGTGAACACATTCATGCCAAATTATAATCATCAATTTGTTCATCATTGTTTNGACATGAAGCAACAATCATTACATTAATATAAAATTTGTA